GGGGAGGGGAGGTGCGCGATGGCAGGGACGCGAGAGGAGGAGAGGCTGAGAGGAGAAGGGTGAGGTTGGTTTGCAGGTCGCGTGCTCCACGGCATCACCAGCATGGCCTCGCGTGCTCCAGGGCATCACCAGCATTGACTCGCGGCGTGCAGTTTCTTGCACTTGCTCGCCTCCTCTCTGTTGCCTTCCGTGTAGCGAGCAGTGCGCACTTGCAGTGGCTTCATGATGCCATCGGAAGCGGAATGATTGCGCACGGTGTAACAGCGTGCGTCCCTCTTCGGGTGTGTGCGTCCCTCCATGGGTGTCTGTGTGCGTGCGTGCGTGCGTGCGTGCGTGCGTGCAGTGAGTACCCCGAGTGGCTGTGGACGCTGCTGGACCGCCAGGCGCCGCTGAGCGAGCTCAAGAGGAAGAGAATTGAGGACATGGGCATGGCGGAGGTGAGGCATGGGCATGGCGGAGGTGAGGCATGGGCATGGCGGAGGTGAGGCATGGGCATGGCGGAGGTGAGGGATGGGCATGGCGGAGGTGAGGCATGGGCATGGCGGAGGGGAGGGATGGGCATGGCGGAGGTGAGGCATGGGCATGGCGGAGGTGAGGCATGGGCATGGCGGAGGTGAGGCATGGGCATGGCGGAGGTGAGGCATGGGCATGGCGGAGGTGAGGGATGGGCATGGCGGAGGTGAGGCATGGGCATGGCGGAGGTGAGGCATGGGCATGGCGGAGGTGAGACATGGGCATGGCGGAGGTGAGGCATGGGCATGGCGGAGGTGAGGCATGGGCATGGCGGAGGTGAGGCATGGGCATGGCGGAGGTGAGGCATGGGCATGGCGGAGGTGAGGCATGGCGTTGGTAGATGGTCATGTAGGTACATGCAATATATGTTCACATAACCTTCCTGCATGGCATGCTTCTTGATCTGGCACCTGTGGTTGTGCTGTGTGTGCTGTGGTTGTTCATGTGGTTGTTCATGTGTGTTGGTGTGTGTCCTGTGTGTGTGGCATGTGTGCTGTGAGGGGAGCAGTTGGAGCGCCTGGTGAAGTTGGACAACCGCGACAGAATACGTGGCACCAACGCTTCCAGAGCCAAGGCATAGCCACAGGCAGGGCATAGCCTGCCTGCTGTTGCAGCCAAGGCATACTGAGAGCCAGGCACAGGCATAGCCTTGGGCGGCCTCCCGCCAGTGCATTAACATTTGCCGTAGGTAGAGAGTACGGCTAACCACACCCTGCCATTCTTGGAAAGTGGCCAAGAGTTCTGAAGGTCGCGGTCTGCCTTGCATAGAGCGAGTGACTACGGTATTAGTACTACCGGCATCAGTGAGGATTATATCTGGCTTGGGCGGAGTGTGTTGTGTACCCGAGCCCTAGAATGATGGTCTTCTAAGAATCTGGCTTTCTTGCTGTCTCTTTTGGTTGGTTGGTTGGTTTAGCGACTGAATACAAACCGTACAACACATTTTCCCTCATCATAGCTAGCCTCCATCCAGCTTGTTTAGTTTGTCCAGACATGTACAAAGCCACTTCTATTTCCAGTGTAGATTTCATTCCGGTCTTCATCATAAAACAGTGCTGTGACGTCTTCCAACGCCTCCTTTACGGTCGAGTGGACGGACTTTGATTTAGCTTGAGCCGACTCTGAGTCCGACGATACTTTAGCCAGGAGCTTCCCCGTGAGGATGTTGCTGATGTTGATGCTGCCCACTGCATACAAGAGGCATGATGCAGGGTAGCAGAGAGGCGGGCAGGGAGGATGAGGTGGATTGACAGCTTGTGAAGAGCTTACAGTAAGCAGAGGGCATTAGAATGAGAGAGGCACGGGGAGGTGGTGTGGACTGACCGTGGGGGGCGTGGGAGGGGTGGTGGTGCTTGCAGTAGGAGATGATGAGGTCCTGGTCGGAGGTGATGTAGATGTTGTTGGTGTTGCAGTCGGGGTACCAGAGCTCGTGGTCCTCAAACGCCGTCACCATCTCCCCGCGGAAGTTCCACACCGCCACGGCGCGGTTGCGGAAGGTGAGGAAGAGCTGGTTCTCGTACAGAAAGATGAATGCCGAGGGGGTCATGAACTCCGTGCGGCTCACCTGCGTCTCCTCCCGCGTGCGCACCTGCCCACCAACGCACGGAGGGGGTTACAGTGCAGTGATGATGCTGTGTTCAGACAGATGACAGGGCAGACAGGGGCACGAGGGACCACATCCTTGCGAGCGAGTCAGGGCACGGGGTTACAAGCATCTGCACGGCAGCGAGGGCAGCAAGGAGCACGGCAGCAAGGAGCACGGCAGCAAGGAGCACGGCAGCAGGGAGGCAAGGACAGGGGTTAACAGTGAGGGGATGAGGAAGCGGTGGGCACGGACGTCGAGGATGTGGAGGTTGTCGTTCTCCTGCTTGACGAGCAGCTTCTCGTTGAACTGCTCGATGAAATCCACCTTCTTGCCGCGCTGCAGCAGCTGCACAAACGACGCCAGCACCGCCCCGTCCTCTATCGACAGGATCTTGAGCGGCACGTGCCCCTCCGCGCGGTTGTAGATCAGCAGCATGATGCCCGGACTGCACCGCGCACGGTGCAAGGCAAGGCAGACAGCGGATGGTGGATGGCAGAAAGGGGAGGCAGGTGGGCAGGATGGGTGGAGACAACCCCAAAGTGGCGAATGTTATACGGACTGAAAGCACAACAGGCACATGGAATGGAGGCTCTCTTGAACCTGACCTGATTTTAATTTCCTGGATGTTGCTGTCGGGCACGCTGTAGAGGAGAGTGTAGTTGCGCAGGTCAAACACCTTGTACATGCTGCACCCCGCACACAACACACGCATCCACACGCACTCAAACGATTTCACACAAGTTAACGGCTGTTCTGAGCATGCAACCATGAGGCACAGCAAGGACAGACAATTCAAAGCAAGTGGCAGCTACGTGGTTGCAGGTGCAGATGGGCAAGCACATGAGTAGCAAAGCCAGGTTGCAGTGAGCGCATGAGCGCATGTGCAGCACAGGGGGGAGGGGAGCACCGTACCCGTTATCAGCGGAGTAGGTGAGGACCTTGCCGTTGACGTCATCAAACTCCACAAAGCCCGGCCAGCGCAGCGACTCTGACTCAAACAGCGCAAAGCCCTCGCTGGGCCGCCCCCTCCGGATGTACCTGCAGGGCGCGCGCAGCACCACGCACACACCATGTGGAGCGGAGCACACGACTCACGGGCAGGGCCTTGTGACTTGCGCGCGTGAGAATAAGATGGGTGGCAGAAGGAGCAGAGCAGGAGACGCAGAGTAGGGAAGGGAGAAGCAGTGACAGGCGAACGACGCAGAGGAATAAACGATAGTTCAAACGACGCCTCTCAACAAGGCGGAGAGGGGCCATGCGAAAGGAGACGAAGAAAACGGACCCAAAGAAGGCTAGCCGGGAAGCAGACACGGGCATGAGGATTGGGAGGAAAGGCAGGGGCGCACTCAAGCGGGGTGTTTCTGCATTTGAGCGAGCTGAAGTTGTCCTGCGCGTAGACGGAGACGGTGATGAGCGATTCGTTGTTCTTGTTGAAGAAGAGGCTCCGAATCACCTCCTCCGACCCCACGTTCATGTAGCACAGCCGCCGCTGGGACTCTGCCGCCCCCGCAATGACGCACAGCAGAAACGAGGCACAGAAGCAGATGAGGCTGAATCGACTGACACGGAACGCGCTTGAACAGAAGGAAAACGGAAAAAATGGAAAGCGAGGATAAGCAGACGAACCTAAGCAGATGGCAGCGCATGCTCCGGAGTGCGCGAGCGTGAAGAGCAGATCCTTGGCCGCCACGATCTCCACGATCCGCGATCGCCGCTTCAGAAACGACAGGCGCTCCACCAGCGCGGCCTTGGCGTCGAACGTGTCGTACTCCCCCTGCACGCGCACCCACGGCATCGCACGGCCCACACACGACACTCATGCCATCCATCAAAGCGCACTTCGCGCCGACCGTAATGGTCAGGAGGCTACAGGAAAAAAATTGCACGAGCAAACGACGGAGTCGCAAAGTGGGGATGGACAACGCGAGCGGGGGTTGAGGACTAAAGATACTAACTGCGAGGCGCCAGAATGGTCGCACCTGGAGGCTGAAGTTCCTAAATTTCTCCTCCGAGCTCGTGCGCTTGAACGCCCAGTTTCCTCGAGCGCTCACTTCTCGCCGCGTTAGCTTCTTTAGCGAGCTCGCTCGTCTCTCCTGCGACGGCCGGCTGCCTGCCTGGACGCGCTTGATGGCCGGCTGACTGCTCTGACCTATTCTCCCTTGGCCAGGCCCAGACCTATATTCCATAACGATGGCCCGGCCGGACGTACGGTTCGCCTCACGGTAAAAACGCGGAATTCAAAATACTCATCGCCGCAACGAAGCCATTGGTACGTGGTATGCTGTGTATGGTACTCTCGCGCAAGCTGCTTTGCTGACACTGCCAGAGGTGGTTTGCTCAGAAGCTCCTGCGCTCTCCACTGAATGTACTGCCTTCTTGTTGGCTGGCGTGATTGCCCTGTGATGCTGGTGGTGTGTGCAGCATGGTTTGCTCGAGGGAGGAGCACTTTCGGGGGAGCATCCCGCAACTCCCGCTCCCCGCTTTCCTTACTGACCCTTGGATATGTCTGGCGACGGACGACCCTCCGATTGGCCTCTCTCACTTTGTTCCCAATTTAACGGCAGATTTGGAGACTTTCAGAAAGCCGCTCTGCAAGATGTGATTAGTGAGAACCGATAGCGTGAGGCTACACCACTATAGTGATGTAAAGTTTATAATATTGACAATTGAGAAAATTTTGAGGATGTGATAATGACCATATTTTGGTTTTAAGAAATCAATCCCCAAAATCATTATAATCGTTTTAACAGGTGTAGAAAAGACTAACCAGCGTGGACCTTTCATACTTCTAATAAATATGTATATTATATATATTGCTCCTGACTGCCGAGCAACCGCATTATAGTTGTATTGTAAATACTGCCGAGGACCCCTGTCGGTTGGGCCTGGGAGAAATCGAATCATGCTGAGTAAGCACAGTTGCTATGGTGACACGCGGTTCGCTGATTGGCTGGTTCAGTCTTGGAGGCTTCGTCTGTCACAACTTCCCTCCCATACATGGCTGCCCCACAGGCGTGTGACTCCCAGGCTCGGCCGAGCCCAGGCCAAGCCGGCACTTTCTTTGGGACCAGACAGCGCGTTTCAGTACGACCCAACAAGCTTCTTTTTGGGACCAAACCTCAGCCTGGTGACCTTCAGTAGTAGCCGCCATCTCGGTGGCGTGCAGGAATCACTTTTCTCGCCTGCTAATCTGCGTTGGCCATTCCGCGACCTTCGTCGCTGGCGTGCTCCGCGGCGTCATTGGGTTCATCGCCAGTCCACGAACGAGCGCGCGACCCCGCACTCCGTCTCCTCACCTCTCCCATTGCCCCGCCGCGCACGGCTGGCTGAGTCGGGGGCGCGCGCGGCGCAGGATGGACTCGCCCATGGCGGCGGCCACGGGGCGGCAGAGATCATCTGCTGTTAAGATGGTGCTGGCGGCGCTCTTTGTCGCGGTCTGCATGTTCGTGCTCCAATCTAGAGATTCTACTCCCGTGCAGGTGGGGCGCTGTAGGCTGCGTGTTTCTCAGACTGCGTCGAGCTGATCGCGGGATTCGCGGGATTCAGTGAATCCGCACCGTCTCGTATCCCCCACCACACCCCCCCCTCCCCCCCTTCACTCCTCGCATGTTACGTCCAACTGCGTACCACGCCTCCCTGTGTGCCCCCCTCTCTGCCTGTGCGCTGCTGCGCGCGCGTGTGGCGGTGCGTCAGTTCCGCGTGCGCGAGGCGGGGGTGACGCACGTGCTGGTGACGGGCGGTGCGGGCTTCATCGGCTCGCACGCGTCGCTGCACCTCCTCACGTCGGGCCACCGCGTCACCATCGTCGTGAGTCACGTCAACTCTGTCGTGCGTCATGATTCTCATATGCACCTCTCCTGCCAGCCGCACTCTTCTCTCCGCCAAGGCGGGTGCGCCTGCCACTCTGCGCCTTGTCCCGCCCATGCGCTCCTTTCCACTCCAGCGCCGCCTCTTCGCCTCCTCACTCTCTCCCCACTCTCCTCCCATTTCCCACTGTATTTGTGTGTGCGAGCGTGTGCCTATGTGTGCCTGTGCCTGTGGCTATGCCTGCGTCCGCGCCTGCGCCTACGTCTGTGCGTATGTCTGCGCATGCACATGGCAGGACAACCTATCGCGGGGCAACTGGGGCGCGGTGCAGGTGCTGCAGCGCATAGCACCGGAGGGGCGACTGCAGTTCATCAATGCGGACCTGGGGGACCCCCGCAAGGTCTGCTCCGCTGCCCCGTGCATGCGCGCACTGTCATACCATGCATCATGCGCACATTGCCACGTGGCATGCGCTCTTTCCCACGTACCGTATTTTTGCGCCCCTCTACTTGATCCAATGCTGCTCCTCTGACCCCTCCCCCTCGAAGCACTGCCGCCCCTTGAACTTGGAGCACCGCTGTGCCCCTGTGCCCCTGTGTGCGTGGGTGGGTGGGTGGGGCAGGTGGAGGCGGTGTTTGCGAGCAACGCCATCGACGTGGTGATGCACTTCGCTGCCGTTGCTTATGTGGGCGAGAGCATGCAGGAGCCGCTCAGGTGAGGCCCGTGGGAGGTGAGTTGGAGCGGATGCAAGTACCGTTTGCGTAAGGAATTGAGCCACCTGTGGGGCGAGAGATGTGGTCGCGTGGTAGAGACTGGCAGGGGAGGATGTAGGGAAAGGGAAGGTATGGAATGGGAGTGGCACTTGAACAGGTTAGTAGCCATTTCACTGAGGTCCACCTCTCACACTGGCCTCACCTCTCACACTGGTCCCTGGGGGTCGAGGTACCGCCATTGCCATCCAACACACCCATCCCGCAATTCCCCACCACCAAACCCCCATTTCCCCGCTCCCGCCTCTCCCCTGCCCCTTTGTTGTGCTGGCCTATTTCACGTGGCATGGGGCGCGGGCCATGTGCCTGCATGCATGGCGCAGGTACTACCACAACGTGACAGGCAACACACTGGCGCTGGTGGAGGCGATGGTGCGGCACGGCGTGACTCAGCTGATCTACAGCAGCACGTGCGCCACGTATGGCGAGCCCAAGACCATGCCCATCACTGAGGACACCGTGCAGGTCACTCTCACTCTCACACCACACCACACGCATCACCCACCACCCACCACCCACCACCCACCACCCACCACCCACCACCCTGTGTCAGCCACAGCACGCCACCCACTAGGGTGCAGTGACTCACACAATGCCACGCCCCTCTTCCTCCCCCCTGCCTGTCCTTTCAGTAGCAAGCATCCATGATCAATGGTATGCATGCAGCGCGCTCAAGAAGAGCCTTTTACCCTGCACTGTCCCCCCCCTCCTCCCGTCCCCGTACGCCATGTGTGCTGCGTAATGCATGGCACCAGGCGCCCATAAACCCGTACGGCAAGTCAAAGAAGATGGCGGAGGACATCATTCTCGACTACGCGCGCACCAACCCAAGGCTCGCCGCCACCATCCTCAGGTCAGCCCCGCCTCGCCGCCACCATCCTCAGGTCCCCCCTCGCCTCGCCTCGCCTCGCCCCCCCTCGTCTCGCCTCGCCTCTCCTGCCTCCCATCCCCACGTCGCATGTCATGACTTGCTGCCTGGCAGCTTATCCAGCCTCATGAAACCCTGCCGTGCACGCTTGTCGGTGCTCTCGCATGTGCCTGGTGTCTTCGTTGCTGCCTCCCTGCCTTCTCCTCTGCTGCCATGTCTCCCACCCACAATGGACCCCACGTGCACTCTAACATAATCTGGTAGGCCTTCCCCCTCCTCCACTTACTCACGCGCACATTCACTTCTCAACCATCTGCATCCCCTCCCGTAACTCGCACACCCATCTGCCCTCTTCCCCGTCTCCCCTGCTCTCCCCCCTCGTCTCCCCCCAGGTACTTCAACGTGATCGGGTCGGACCCCAGTGGGCGCCTGGGGGAGGCGCCTCGCCCGGAGCTGAGGCACCACGGGCGCATCACAGGGGCGTGCTTCGATGCCGCCATGGGCAAGATTGACGGACTCAAGGTGCGCTCCGCCCCCCCCCCCGCCCCCTGCTGCTCTGCCCCCTTGCTGCTTTCCCCGTGCTGCACTCTCACCCCGTGCTGCACTTTCACCCCGCGCACCATGAATCGAGCATGGCACGTGGTTGCTGCTGTATGGAGTGGAGTGCACACACATGGTGCATGTGCGTGCGCTGCGCACTGCACGGCTGCACTGCTGCTGATGGGCGCTCACCACCTCCAGCTCACCGCGCATGGGGGAGAGCCACAGCATGCCACTCCGCCCTAGCAAGCGGGCGCCACTCTCATCCCCACTGCATGCCCGCTGATACACCTGCTCTGCCCCACAGCTGTCACTGCTGCGCTGAGCCGACTCCCCACTCCCCTCATTCACTGCACCTCACGCACCTCCCTGCTGCGTGCGTGGCTGCTTTGCCCCCCCCCATGGCAGGTGATGGGCACGGACTACCCCACGGCGGACGGCACGTGCATCCGCGACTACATCCACGTCACGGACCTCGTCAACGCGCACGTGGTGGCCATGCACCACCTCACGCCCGGCACCGTCTCCATCTACAACGTCGGCACCGGCAAAGGTGACCATCCTGTGCCTTGCCATGCTGCTCGCACACCACCATCACCAGGCTGCTTTTCGCTGTTTCCTCCCGTACTGCTTCTCTTGATACTTCTCAAAAGTTTTCTGTTAAAATGGCAACCCCATCCCCCCCTCCCATCCTTCAACATCCTTGGATGGCCTGCCCTGTCCTGCCCTTGCTTACTCTGTCCTACCCTGCCCTATCCTGCCCTGTTCCCTCATACCTGAGCAGGGTACTCGGTGCGGGAGTTCGTGAATGCGTGTCTGAACGTGACGGGGGCGCCCATAAAGGTGATGGAGCAGAAGGCACGGCGGCCGGGCGACTACGCGGAGGTGTACAGCGACCCCAGCAAGATCTACCGCGAGCTGGGCTGGAAGGCCAAGTACACGGACCTCAGGGAGTCGCTCGCCATGGCCTGGCGCTGGCGCCGCCTGCACCCCGATGGATACTGAGGGCTGAGCTGACAAGACACCACCTCTCAAGTGTTTTGCTAGGATTGACACATTGTAGGTTGCATTTGCTGTGCAGATTTCTCTCAGCTGTGTTCGATTATATAGAGGCTAATATATTTGTTCTCTGGTTCTGCCGTTCTGGTCAGATTCAATTCAGCTGCTGTAGCTTGTCTCCAAAACGATCACCATTATAGGGGTCATCGAAACTCACAACCTCTCGACCGCACCTGCTGATCAGTTATCAATCGCACCGCCCTCGCATCTCCTGTCCCTGAAACGCTTCTCATCTTGCGTCTCCCGTCAGATTGTCGCCGGCTCCTCCAGGCGACTCTCATGGCGACGCCTGTAGCTGTCGCGGGTGAGTCGCGCGTTTCCGCATTGCCGCCCTCCCTACCGTTAGCCCTGCCGTTAGCCCTACCATTATCCCTGCCGCTAGCCCTGCCACTAATTCTGCCTCTCGTGCCGACCTATGTGTGTCGTTAATCGTTATCCTGCCGATGATCGGCTTTGCTGATCCATTCGCACGACTGACCGTCTCTCTCCACATGTCTTGCCGTCTGCTGTCTGTGATGCTCGCGCTGCGCGCACGCGTGCCGACGCGTCCGTGCATTCCATCGCGCCGTGGCGTGGCGCGCTGTGTCATTGTCATTGCCACGGTCATCGCAATGGCCGGTGCGGCGGCCACGGGGGGGGGGGTGGGGGCGGGGGAGCGGGCAGAGCGGGAGCTGCGCGAGTATATGGACGTCGCTGTCACGGCCGCTCGCATGGCGGGTGACGTGCGTCGCATCGCCTCGTGTGTGCATACCCCGTGTGCATGCACCATGTCACTTAGCGCTTGGCGCACCCCACAGCCCCTCGCATGTGCCGTATCCCAATGCCTCTCACTTCCCATGACCCCCTTCCGCTTGCCTGGCCTGCCGCCTGAATCGCCCAACAACCCTCCCAATGCTCTCCCTCTCCTCTCCCCTCGATTCGCCCCTCCTCTCCTCCTCTTCTCTCCCTCTCCTCTCCTCTCCCCTCCTCTTCTCTCCTCCCCGCTCCTTCTTCGCTACTTCCCCGCCAACTGCCCCTCTCCTTTTCTTCTCTCGTAACTCCCTCCATTCCGCAATCGCTCTCCCCATTCTTCCATCCGCCTCCATCCCTCCATCCCCCACCATCCCTCAACTCACCCACCCATACATCCGTGGATGCGTGCACACATGTTGCCAGGTGATTCGCCGCAGCTTCAATGCACCAAAGGACGTGCAGCACAAGGGCAAGGTGAGGCGCGTTGGAGGGTAAAGGCATGGCATGGCATGGCATGGCATGTAATGAGAGAGCATGGCATGTGTTGTGGGAGCATGGCATGTGAGAGCTTACTGTCTTCTGCCCAGAAGCTCATCTACGCATCCTGCAGGTGCTCTAAGCCCTAAACCCGATAACGCCTTATTTCGACATTATGTTCTCCCCTCCCCACGTCCGCCACCCACTGTGCTGCGTCTAGGTCGACCTGGTCACAGAAACGGACAAGCAATGCGAGGCACTCATCATGCAGCACATCTCAGCCACGTACCCCTCCCACAAGGCAAGCGTGGGTTTGAACCGGAAGCACATGGCTCTGCCAGGTTGTGGCGTGGCTCTGGGCTTGTGGCATGGTCAGGTTATGGTCGTAGGATGCAGGCCCATTCCCCTCTTCTGTAATGTCCCTCCCACATGCTGCACTTTACCTTCCATCTCAATTGCATGGGCATGGCATGGCATGGCACGGCGTGGCATCAGTTTATAGGCGAGGAGGAGTCATCGGTGCATGGCACAGCACGGCTGTCAGACGACCCCACGTGGATGGTGGACCCCCTCGATGGCACCACCAACTTCGTGCACCGGTACAGACTGCCATGTGCCATGTGCCATGCTCCACAACTGCTTGCTTGTGTTGCACATTGTGGCGCACACCCTTCCATCCCTCCCTCTGCCACTCTCTGCCATGACAGCTGCCCTTGCCCATCCCTCTCCCACTGTCTGTCTCTGGCGTGGCGTGGCGTGGCGTGGCGTGGCGTGGCGGGAGCAGGTACCCATTCGTGTGTGTGTCCATCGGGCTGGCCATCAGCAAGGCCGTGGTGGTGGGCGTGGTCTTCAACCCCATCCTCAACGAGGTGCGTCGCCCTGCCTGCCCACCATGCCATGCGCCTCTCAATTCACGCATGCATGTGAATCACCGCACGCACATCCCCCACTCTTCTCACAACACTGCTCTACGTGCACTGCTGCTCCCCCACCCCACTCATCACTCCCAACATCTTTCCTCATGCAACTCCACCCCCACCCATATCCCATGATTCCTTTCTATTGCCCCATACCCCATGCCCCATGCCCCATACCCCATGCCCCATGCCCCATACCCCATGCCCCATGCCCCATGCCCCATGCCCCATGCCCCATGCCATGCACAGATGTTCACAGCGATGAGGGGCCATGGTGCCATGCTCAACGACGAGCCCATCCATGGTACACCGTGCTGCCACCCATGCTATGCTGTGCCACGCTGCCACCCATGCTATGCTGTGCCACGCTGCCATGGCCCAGTGCTCATGCCCATACTCACCCTTCAGCTCTCCGCTGATACAGCATCCCTGCAGCCACCCTATACGTCCTCAATCTTCCCCACTCACCTCTCCCTGCTGCCCCTTCCCCTCTCCCTGCTGTTTCTTCCTTATCACCCCTCACTCCTATACAACTCTTCCCCCCGTGGTGCCTCTGTGCCCTCTGCCCTTCCCACGTTGCACTGCCCCTGTTGCCGTGCGTCCACCCCTGCCAGCATCCTCTCAGACGCACATGGGGTCAGCGCTGCTCGCCACTGAGGTGTGCTCCCCCTGCCCTGCACCATCGCACCCACACATACATGCGCACATGTACCCATGCATACATGCACCCACTCATGCACCCATGTCCCTTTGCTCCCTTCCTCTCATTCTCACGTGCACTCATGCACACATGCCCTTTTGCACCCTTCCCTGGCACCAGTTTTTCTGCTCACCCGTCACTGCTACCTGTCTTGCGCTTCACTTCACTTGTCCTCCCCCCTCTCCCCCTACTTACTCTTCCCCCAATCCCTGCCACCCATGGCATGGCGGCGGGGGCATCAGATCGGCACCAAGAGGGATGTGGGCACGGTGGCAGGGCTCACAGGCCGCATCACCAACCTGCTCTTCCAGGCATGCCCCTTCCCCTTCCGCCCCCCTCCTGCGTCCCCTCTGTCCTGCGTCCCCTCTGCCTATGGTCCACCTCTGTGATCCAGGCTAATGCTGGAAGAGCGGTGGGCATGACAAAAAGTGCTCTTCTCCCTCCACCACCCGTTACTGTGCCACCTGCTGCTGCATTCCGCCCTCCCTACCCGCCTCTGTCCTTCCAATGCACTCTCTCTCTGTCTGCGCTTCACCATCATATCCGTCCCACTTACCTATCCTTCACTCCCCCATCAACTCACCCTCGCTCCTCCCCTCGTCCAACTGCCAATCCTTGCCAGCTGCGGTCGCTGCGGCTGTCGGGGTCGTGTGCTTTGAACCTGGTGGGCGTGGCGTGCGGTCGCCTCGACCTCTTCTACGAGATCGGCTTTGGGGGGCCACTGGTCAGTGGGGGGGCGTCAGGGGTCACCAAGGGGTGGGGAAGCGAGCAAGTGAGCAAGAGGGAAGAGGGGATGGGGGATTCGGGTGCAGTTGCTGCAAAGCTGCTGAGAAGGTCAGGGCATGGTGTGTGTTGAGGCATTGGCCGCAGCTACGGCATATAAGACCTGTCGTCATTTGGTTTCTTCCCACATGTCACTTTAATTGCTTCTCACATCTTCCACCCCCATATCTCCCTCACTCACCTCCCCTTCACATCCCCCCTCTCTCCCCGGTGCACCCACCAGGGATGTAGCAGCGGGGTCGCTGATAGTGGAGGAGGCGGGCGGCCTCTGCTTCGACCCGTCAGTGCCCTGCTCCCTCCCTTCCCTTGTTGCTTGCTGCTTGCTCCCTGTTCCTTTGTCACTGCTCTGCTCTCATGATCAGTAGCATGAGACGTGTTGATTCTGCAACCCCTGCGTTCTTCTAACGGTAGGAGTCGAGTGTTGGCTTGTACATGTGGCAGGAGTGGAGGCCCATTTGATGTGATGGCATGTCGAGTGGCGGCCTCGAATGCCCATCTAAAGGCACCATTTGTGGAGGCATTAGCCTGTGATGCGGTTGCCAATGGCCAAACATGATGCCACGTGGACTTACCTTATTTTGTTACGAGATAGCAGCATTTTGTTACGTAGGGAATGTTAGGTGCTCAATTGGGCTTAGTGGGGCTAGTAATAGGTTCGTTTAATTACTCAAACTTTCTCAATTATTTCTTGCTTGGGCAAAGATCATACCGTCATCGCCCGGATATAAGACATATATGTCTTATCTCGTACACGGGAAAAAATGCTTGAGTTATCTTATAAACGGGATGCTTTAGGGTATCTTATAAATCTTATAAATGGAAACTTTTTAAACTACTTAGAAATATTTGTTAGAATATCTAGGCAAGGTGGTGTTCACTATCGAGAGAAATTTTACAAGTAGGAAAACCCTAAGGGGTTATCCCCTATAACATCTACCCCACTACAGCCTACCTATATGTATCACACATATATATCATTTGACACACCCCCATAGGCAAAGTGGGGGAGAGCAACGGGTCACAAGACCAGTCAAGAGAAACAAAACAAGCTCAGGGTGGATCACAACGTCACCACACATTCTGAGCACAAGCAAATGGCCACAAGGCCAGTTCACATGCAGAGATATATATGCAGCAATGACAGTACAGTGTCGAGCTACCTAGCAAGAGCCAGCATGCAGGTATATATGTATATAGATCACAGTACAAGCAAAGACTACAGCAAGTGTGGAAGCGTAGGCACAAGGCCTAACAGAGTACAAAAGCGCTGATGATCACCAGACGGAAGTGCCTTGGTGAATATATCAGCAGTGTTGGCCCGAGTGGCCACGTAACGAAGACAAAGCTGGCCTCGCTGCTGCAACTCTCGAGCCAGGAAGTAACGCAGAGCAATGTGCTTCGTTCTGTGCTCCACTCTGTGCTCCTCACACAAGGCAATGGCGGCCTTGTTGTCAACGTACAGCACTGGAGGAGAACGAGGCTGCTCTCCCAAGTCAGTCAGCAGGTAGGTGAGCCAGCGTAACTCCTGTGCAGCCATGGCGGTGGCGTAGATCTCAGCCTCACAACTGGAGCCGAGAACTGAAGACGAGCGTGTAGAACGCCACGAAACTGAACCAGAGCCAAGGCTGAAGGTGTAACCCTGTGACGACCGCTGAGTAGCCAGGTCGTCAACCCAAGAAGCGTCTGAGTGCCCAGTGAGGACAACTGGGCTCGTCCCTCCAAGCACTAGCCCCATGCCTGATGTGCTGCACAAGTAGCGCAGTACCCTCTTAGCAGCAGCCATGTGCTCAGGTCGGTGTCGACCAGGAGCCACGTAGCGAGCGAGGAGACCAAGAGGGTACGCGAGGTCAGGTCGAGTGCAAGTCATCAGGTACATGAGGCAGCCGACTAGCTCTGGGTAAGGACCACTCGGCTCTACGGACTCGTCCGAAGGTGGAGCTGAGAGCGTGTGACCTGTAGCCAGAGGAGTGGCCTGTGCTGAAGACCAGGTGAAGCCGAAGCGCTGAAGGACCTGCTGCACCATGTGTGACTGAGTCAAGGTGATGGTGCGGCGTGCTCTGTCCCGGGTGATCTGCAAGCCAAGGTAGCTGCGCAGCTCACCCAAGTCAGTGCACGTGTGTCTCTTCTGTAGCTCCGACTTCACGTGGGCGAGAGCCTCAGTGTCAGCAGTGGCAAAAACCAAGTCGTCGACGTACACGAGGATGTAGAACGGCGGCAGTGAAGTGTCTGTGCGCAGAAACAGCGACGGGTCAGCAGTAGAAGGCGCAAACCCAAGAGCCGCAAGTGTCGTCCTCAGTGTGTCGTGCCACTCACGTGGCGCCTGGCGGAGACCGTAGACCGGTCGTCTGAGGCTCCACTGGGTGCCAGGAGGGAACGACCCAGTGAAGCCCGGGGGGCGGCGCAGCCAGATCTCCTCGTGCAGGCTGCCCTGTAAGAAAGCAGTGCTGAAGTCAAGAGAGTGAAGCTCGTAGTCACGGTGAGCAGCAACGTGCAGCAGCACCCGAAGAGTGGTCATCTTCGGGGTGGGGGAGAAGGTCTGGAAGAAGTCAACTCCCTCTCGCTGACTGAAGCCTCGAGCCACGTAACGCGCCTTGAAGACAGGCGGAGAACCCGGCGGCCGCTTCACCCTGAAAATCCACATGCCACTGACGATGTTCGCCCCAGGTGGGGGAACCTCGTCGACATAGGTGCCTGTGGACTTCCAGGAAGCCATCTCTGCGTCCATGGCTGCCTGCCACTGAGAGGAGTAGGGACTCTCTATCGCCTCTGCGTAAGAGCGCGGAGTCGGGATGTCTGGTGCATCCGGGTCTCCCTCAGGGGCAAGTAGCGAGGACACAAGATGAGGTAAAGCAGCAGCAAGACACTGGAACTCCTCCTGCCTGTCCTCAAGGACGTCCGTGCTAAGAGCACACTCACCCCCGACGGACGGAGGACAGACAGACGCAGACTCAGCAACAAGACTGGCGGCGTAGTCGAGACGACAGGCAGCAGCAAAGTCAACAAGCTCAGCGACAAGAGCAGACGCAGCAGTAGACTCAAACGACGGGTCAGTGACAACAGTGGCTAGCAGACGCGTGACAGTAGGGTGCTCAGCACGAAACCGGTCAGACTCAGGGTCTGGAACGTCAGGTAGAGAGGACGCAGGAGGAGACGGAAGAGGAACAGGCTGCAGAGCAGAGGAAGGACGACGAACTACGAGGTGTGTGCTGGGGACAGCCTGCTGACGCGAACGAGGAACACGACGACCGGGACGAGCAGGCGAGACAGGACGCGACACAGGCTCACGACGCTCAGCAGGACTACCAGTCTGCTCAGTGTAAGGAGAAGGAGCAGGCAGCGGTGAGCCAGGCTGTAACGGAAGACCAGTAGACGACGGGAGAGTAAGAACCTGACGAAGAACAGAGTCAGACGGCGGCAGAGACGACGGAGACGGCGGAGCGAAGAACAGTCGTGTCGGCGCAGCTGCATCAGTACCGGCAGCTCCAGCAGCTCCAGTACCTCCAGCAGCTCCAGTACCTCCAGCAGCTCCAGAACCTCCAGCAGCTCCAGAAGCTCCAGTCCCAGAGTCGTCACCTCCAGTCCCAGGGTCTCCAGCCCCTGTGTCTCCAGCAGTAGCACCCCCAGAACCAGCACCCCCAGTCCCAGGGTCTCCAGCCTCAGTGTCACCAGCAGCAGCACCCCCAGAGCCAGCACCTCCAGTCCCAGGGTCTCCAGCCTCAGTGTCTCCAGTACGAGTACCTCCAGAACCAGCGACTCCAGCACCTCCAGTAGACAAAGGTCCAGCACCACTCCTAGCTCCAGCAGCGCGACGCTGACGGTGACCGTACCAGTCCTGCAGCTGCTGTGGGGTGAGAGGCACACGTGGACGAAGGCGGCTACTCCAAGGAGACCGCGCAACAGCAGACTCAGAACCCTCAGCGCCAGCACCCCCAGCTGCTCCAGAACCTCCAGCGCCAGCACCCCCAGGCTCCTCACGCGTAGGCTCAGTACCCGCAGACTCGGCACCCGCAAGCTCAGCACCTCCAGGCTCCTCACGCGCAGGCACAGCACCCTCAGACTCGACACCCCCAAGCTCAGCACCGCCAGGCTCCTCACGCGCAGGCACGGCATCCCCAGACTCCGCACCCCCAGGCTCAGCACCTCTAGGCGCCTCTCGCTCAGGCTCCGCACCCCCAGGCTCAGCACCCCCAGAGACAGCACCCCGAGCAGGACCACCTCCAGCAGGACCTGAGTCACCAGTGACCTCAACAGGCGCAGGTACCGGAGGGTCTACCTGAGAAACACCTGAAGGAGCAGGACCTGGCGCGGGGAGGGGGTCTACCTGGGGAGGACCTGGAGCGAGAAAGAGCGGCGGGGGGGGGCGAGAGACAGTGCGGTAGGGAAAGAGACGGTAGAAGGGAACAGACTCGTCAAAGGTGACGTCCTGAGACGCAAAGACACGGCGCGAGGTGGGGTCGTAAAACTGCCAGCCAGGCGCGTCAGGAGGAAAACCAAGGAAGACGCAGGGAATGGCGCGAGCAGAGAGCTTGTCCGCGGTGAGATCGCGGACAAAGGCACGAGCACCCCAGACCCGGAAACGCGACGCATCGCCAACCTCCCCCGTCCACAGCAGTGTGGGCGAGGTCTCCGGCAAGGAGACACGGGGCCAGAGGTTGAGCTGATGCGCGGCGTACCGGACCGCGAACGGCCACAGAAAATGGGGAGCCGCCGCATGGATCATGGAGGTACGAGCGACCTCCATGACTAAGCCAATGCGGCGCTCAGCAACCCCATTCTGCTGCGGAGAGGCCGGAAGCGTGAACGACTGGGTGATGCCGTGCTCCGCACAGAAGGCTGCCAAGAGGTCAGAGGAGAACTCACCACCTCTGTCAGAGTGCAGACGCAGGACAGGAAAGTCCCGCTCGAACCGCTCGCGGAGCTGGAGACGCACAGCGCGGATCCAGGGGATCAAAACAGCAGGGACGTCTCCCTTGCTGCGCAAGGGGAAGACCGTGGTGTAACGCGTGAAGTCGTCGACAACCAGCAGAAAGTACCGCTCACGGCCCTGTCCCTGGACGCGGGCTGGGCCCCACACGTCCAGGTGAAGCGTCTGCAGGGGAGCCTCTGTGGGAGGAAACGAGGAGGAGTGAGGAGCGGCGCGCTGCCGCCCCTCGACGCAGGGAATGCAGGGCGGCGCAGGCGAGGGAGGGAGGGCAGGCAGAGACCTGGGAAGCCCAGAGACCAGAGAGCGAGAGTGCATGCTACGAAGGCGAGGCAGGGAGGGGTGACCAAGGCGGTGGTGCCACAGGAGCGTGTCGTGCGACAGGCGGCGGCACTCACACTGGGTAGCTACCTGAGCAGACGCGTACAGCTGCGGAGACAAAGGAGCGGAGCGTGAAACAGTGGTGAGGGTGTACAGACTGGACCCCGGCTCACGAGTGAACGTGGCCAGGTGGCGGCCAGTCTTGGAGCACGTGCAG